CGGGGGATTTCCTTTTCTTTTCATGTGTGATTTCTTTATATTGAGACACACTGCCGCTTGTAAAGAAACTTGCTTTGTGCCGTGGTTGTTTGTGTTAGAAATTCTTTGATCAATCTTCCTTATTTTAGGCTTGTAGGCTGTCTGCCAAGTGATATTTTCTGAACTTGCTTTAGTTACTACAAAGTCAGCACTATGCTAAACCTTTCTCTTCTTAGAAGTTGGAAAATTTTGAATTGTTTCATTGATGGTCAGATTAGAATCTTTCTCTTTCTTATTTAAATGGTTGTTTGTTTATTTGATAAATCTATGTTATTAGTATTATTTTCTCGGTTGATAGTGATATTCTCACAAGTATATTATTGTTGACATCTGTCAGAGGTTTTAAAGCAAGTGTGGGACTTATCCGATCAAGATAATGATAGCATGCTTTCTGTCAGGGAGTTCTGTATCGCACTCTATTTGTTGGAGCGACATAGAGAAGGGCACATTCTTCCTGCTATGCTTCCTAGCAACGTCGTGTTTGATTTTTCCAGCAATGGTCATCCTGCAACTCCGGCTGCATCTAACTATAGCAATGCAGCTTGGAGACCTACAGCTGGTAATCCCTTTTGACGAGTTACTTCATGGCCTTTTGCAATTAGTTGGACTCCTCTCGGTGGGATGAAATTTACCCCAACACTAACACTTTTCTTTAATTAAAAAAGGTTACCAACAGCACCAAGGGGTTCCTGGGTCTGGTAATGTGCATGGAGCTCCTGTAGTTGGAGTACAACCGCCTACACCTGCTGCTGCCTCCCCGGTTGAGGATGAGCCACAGTCCAATAAGCCAAAATCAAAGGTTCCTGTGCTGGAGAAAAATCTTGTTAGTCAACTTAGTACAGAGGAGCAGAACTCCCTCAACTCAAAGTTCCAAGAAGCAGCAGATGCGGAGAAAAAGGCACCTCATTTCCTTCTAATGTCCTATTTTTGTTCTATCCTCTGTTATAAACATAGTAGTGATCTTGGTTCGATTTCACCCGAGTTAACATGGAATGAGAAATAAGACACCCCACTTGTACACATAGATGTTCTTTTTTATTTCTTGAAAATAGGTTTTGTAGATTGGAAAACTTACTGCTAGTGTATCTTCTCCCTTATTTTCTTTTCTTCTTTTCTTCTGTAGTCAGAAGTTTTGATCGAAGTTTGAAGTCCCCTCGTGCTAAGCCATCATGAGGATTAATATTTTTAGTTTGTTAAAAATAAGCCATAATATCAGTTGCTCTGTTATTAAATACTTTATGTTTACTACTGCTTTTGTGATTTGTCTGTCACTCATACTTCGACACATCTTGATTTGTTCAATGAAGGTTGAAGAATTGGAGAAGGAAATTTCGGAATCTAGACAGAAAATTGAGTATTATCGTACTAAAATGCAAGAACTTGTAAGTACTGAAGAATTTTTTTATGTATTCTCTTTTTTCTTTAAACCATGGGGTATTTGTGGTTGTTATACGTATATATGGACTGTAATGAATATTGTCCAAAGAGTTTTGGAAAGATGATGCTTCTGATGTTGCAGATGCTTTGCCTCCCCCCTCCACACAGGCAAGGGAGAAAAGAAAACTGCAGAATACAAATATATATTTTTTCTGGATATTATTTGATTTTCTCCTTGCATTGGTGTTTTTGGCAACTTTTTCCTTGCATTTATTTTCATTCTGTGAATTTAAAGCTGTTTCCTGTGAAAAATAATAAAATTCTAGAAATGTAACCGAGCACCTCTCGCATGCTTGATTGAAAGGTGTATGATTTTATTAGCACTCATTTCTGTCTTGCTTTTGCTAAATTAGGCTTTTGTGCTGTATATGTTCAATGAGGATGGATTTAGTTCTTTATTACCTTACTGCTTTTCCTGAATTTTTCTTCCTTCAATAAGGTCTTGTACAAGAGCAGATGTGACAATCGGCTGAATGAAATATCTGAAAGAGTGTCTTCAGAAAAACGTGAGGTATCTATTTGATGGAATAATGTGTGGTTCATCCTTGTTTAACTTAAATGATTATAGTGAACTCATTGAAGGTATTGATTATTTCAGGTAGAGTCCCTTGCTAAGAAATATGAAGAGAAATACAAACAATCTGGTGATGTAGCCTCCAGATTAACCGTTGAAGAAGCTACATTCCGTGATATACAGGTTCCTTCACTGTTTGTAAATCAGATTGTGGGAACCAATTTAAACTATGCTATGCATTCAGAAACTAATGATATTTGATGCTGTTGTTTACTCTGGTTTAGGAGAAGAAGATGGAACTGTATCATGCGATTGTGAAGATGGAAGAAGATGTTAGTGAAGATGGCATTATTCAGGTAAATTTTAGTTTTCTGGCCGATTGAACAGTGCAGGAGTTCATCTAAGGTCATTTCTATAACCAAAATTTCAGGTTCGTGCTGATCGTATTCAAGCAGATATAGAAGAATTAGTGAAATCTCTCAATGAACGCTGCAAGAGTTATGGTTTGCGTGCGAAACCAATAACTCTGAGTGAACTACCTTTCGGTAAGTTTCTTGAAATGCATTATTTACTCTGCCAAATCTCAGTTGTCTGGGTAGCAGTTTTCTTTCTAGCCGTGTCAATTTTTGTGTCGACATGAAATAAAATCAAGATGTCTTGCTTATGAATGATTTACATGCAAAACAGAAAGATTTACCTTCCATTTTTGTGAACTAGTCAGTCATAACACATGCAATCTTAATTAAAGAATTTTTAGACCGACATGTATTTTGAATCTTACTTGATATCTTAACTAAGAGAAATATGTGAATGTGAATTTGGGTACATTATAAACTAACTGGAATTTAGTAACGAAGACTGTAGGCTTGTCTTTTCTTTCCTTCCTCTAATGAGAATGTAGTGACTCAATTAGATACTCCGACACTAACAACAATTCTAATTATGTCTCCGACAATAAAATTTAAAACATTAAATTGCTATGTACGTGTAAGAAAATCAGTCATTTACTTCCAATTTGATGATTTTTAATCTATTTGGCTGATATCAAATAAAGACTTTTTTGTAATAATTATATGGAGTATAGTTCCTATGGTTATAAAGTATACTACCTCCCCAATTTGATGTTTTATATCATCTTCAAATTCCTCGCACACAGATCATCTTTTTTTTTTTTTTTTTTTGGGGGGGGGGGGGGGTGGTGCTATATTATAAATGGATGTTCTCTCTCTCTTTCCCTTAGTTTTTTTTTGTTCTTCTTAAGATCTTTTTGTTTTCTTTTGTTGTTGATCATTTTCCTCATTGTTTCAAATAAAGGCTGGCAACCTGGCATCCAAGTGGGAGCTGCTGACTGGGACGAGGATTGGGATAAATTTGAGGAGGAAGGTATGCCAGAGGAATTTATATTAGTCATTAACTGATTATTATGCCTTCTTGCTTTACCTTATTTGTGGTGACTGCAGAACGATGAATCATTCATAATTTTTTTTCAGGTTTCACTGTTGTCAAGGAACTCACTCTTGATGTGCAGAATGTCATAGCACCTCCAAAGCAGAAATCCAAATCTGAGTCGGTGCAGAAAGAACAAGGTTCAGCCATTGACAGCCAAAAAGTTACACCTGCACCAGATGTTGATACCAAGGACGGAGGTTCTACACCTGATGCTGATTCCAAGGGAGAGAAACCTCCTAGTATGGATGAAAAAGCTGTTGAAAATGGTTCCGTACACGATAATAAAAGTGAAGATGGATCAGCCAGAAGTGCTCCTAACAGCCCCTTTGCAAGTAGTGTTATTGAAAGTCCCAAGGAACACAGGGATTCCAATTTTGGGAAGGCTGCTGGCTTTGATGCTTCACCCCGTGACAAGGACACTCAATATAGGGATTCCAATCTTGGGAAGGCTGCTGGCTTTGATACTTCACCCCGTGATAAGGACGCACTAAGGTATTGTCAACTGTCTTTTTTTCCCCCCCCTCGAAGTAGTGTTTATGACCATATGTTGGGCCAAAGTGTACATGGTGAGGGAGAGTGTTCGAAAATGATTTGAAAAGATTAGGCCCTATATAACGGATATAAAGTATCAAAGAAGAATGGGTTGAAAATATTTTACCGTAGCCCAACAACTTAAATTTGTTATAGTTTTAGTGATGATTTAATGTATCAAAATTCCTCAATCTAACTCGTCTTCTTGTGTCGCTATTTCTCTAAGAGTTTTTGTTTTTACTTTTCACTTCTATAGCCTGTTTCTGTGTAACCATTTCTTTGTGGGTAATGGGTCATGGTCTTGATCTTTAGTTGAGTTCCTTTGTTATTGATATGTTTTTAAGAAATAATATTAATTCACAAAAGTGGAGTGTAAAAAGGAGGGTGCTGGGTGTTCAGTTAGAGTGGAATTATGGGAAAACTCCGGATTTATTTTAAAACCAGGAGAGGGGAGATATACAAAAAGAATTGATTCTTTATCAAGAAACCAGAGTTGCAAGAGGAGTTCATATCTACTATCATTCCTATGACTTTTTTTGCATTGAAGTTTTCTCTCTGCTCTTGAAGAATTAATTATATCTTTAACTATTTCTTCAGTGATCATGGAGGTGCGGGATCTGTGTTTTCTGGTGACAAGAGCTATGACGAACCAGCTTGGGGAACGTTCGATATGAATGACGATGTTGACTCTGTTTGGGGCTTCAACGCTGGAGGTTCCACTAAGGTAAGCATTAAACTGTACGTTATAATTGACGAATCAATTAGCACAAATGCTTTTCACTTTATTCTATAAATATTTTCCCCTTGAACTTTCCTCCTGATGCATTCAGTTCCTTATACTTGGGAAGTAGGAAACATGGATGCTCTATTTATGTCGGAGTGCTCGTGTTGGACACACATGTATGAACAGAGCACATGCCCAACAAGCAAAAAAAAAGTCATTTTTTTTCCTTTTGAATTCCGGACACATGGATCTGTTCATCCGAAAAAAGAGAGAAGGTTACACACTGATGTGGCAACCACTAACAAGTATGAAAAACGAATGACCCAGCCCTAAACAAACCAATTGAATGGTTACTGCAATTGCAACCCTTAAAAATTATTCAATTATAATTTTTTGTGTTCTAGTTTTTTGTTACATTTATGTGATATATCTATTATGAATTGTTAAATGTATCAATATATTCACACATTAAATACCTTTGTACTTGAAAATTTCAATTGTTTAATAAGTATGTCATTTTTGTATGGTGATTCTGAGATCTTGTTTAGATCTGCTTGCTGCTAATGTTCATTTCCTTCAGCGTTTGTTCGTTAAGCTGTTAGTGAGACCTGCTGATACATATATTTAATTTTGCCTTTTACTTTTTGTAGACTGACAATGATGTTAACCGAGACAACTATTTTTTCGATTCTGGGGACTTGGGCTTGAATCCTATAAGAACAGAACCATTCCAGGCCAAGAGAAGTACATTTGCTTTCGATGAGTCTGTTCCTAGCACCCCACTCTTCAACTCGGGCAATTCTCCGAACAATTACCACGAGGGATCAGAACCAAGTTTTGAGAGCTTCTCAAGGTTTGATTCTTCCAGTGTGCATGAAGGTGGTTTCCCTCCGCGAGACACATTTGCACGATTCGACTCAATGCGCAGCAGTAAAGACTTCGACCAGGGCCCTGGATTCTCACCATTTGGTCAGTTTGATACATCACGCAGCAGTAGAGACTTTGACCAGGGTGGATCCTCATTGACGCGATTCGATTCAATGCGCAGCAGTAAAGACTTTGATCAGGGATTCCCTTCATTCTCACGATTCGATTCAATGCGCAGCAGCAAAGACTTTGATCAGGAATTCCCTACATTGTCACGGTTCGATTCGATGCATAGCAGCAAAGATTTTGATCAAGGCCACGGATTTCCATCATTCGATGATGCAGACTTCGGATCAACAGGGCCGTTTCGGGCATCCCTGGATAATCAAACTCCAAAGAAAGGATCAGATAACTGGAGTGCATTTTAGCCAGGTTTGCATTGCTCCTTTTACATATGATATATTTTGTCTAAAGCCTTCTAGAACGCGGTTTAAGCTTGGGATAATATGATATTATTTGAGATGTAGGTTTGTCCTCAGTGTGCCCCCCATCTTTGCCTCAGGTTGATGCTTTGTGATGTATTTTTTCTGTTCACCTTTGTGTATTCAATTTTTTTTCTTTGTTTTTTATATAAATTTTAAATTCATTTGTATGTTCTTTTTAAGAGAATCCTATGCACAGCTTATTGGCGTGATAAATTTGATTAATCTGCACAGTATTATTACCTGTTGAACTATGATCCCACTGAGCCTTGAGGCTGCTGGACTTGCTTCTGTATGTGACCTTTTTTGATTATTTAGAGTGATTTTTGCAGCAATTTTGCTAAATATTGGAATATATTTGTGGAAGAGTTACTATTATTTTCTTAAAATCTTCATTGGATGGGATCTTTGCTCTTTACAATTTCATCATATTGGTGAAATTGTTTCATATCAAGATGATGGAATGTGTTGTTATGAGTCTCAGTTATGCTAATTTGATATTATTAAACGGGTTTTTGTGTTGGATGAAATGTCATTGCTGCCAAATGGATTTATCTATAATTATAGAGAAGATTAGAGAAGATTAACCTATGAACAGGGTATTTGAAATTGTAGCAGAGCGTTCGGACTATCTTGTGTGCACCTCGATCAATCTTATCAGACAATCGTCTGATTCAGATATTAAATCTTATAAAGGTAAAGGTAGCCACCATAGATTCTATACCGACACTAAAACTTTCTATGCTTTTAAAAATGCGATTGTTTTTATCGACCAAATGGCGTAACATAGAACATAAAAGAAAGAATTCCCTGAAAATTATGGCCAAAAAGTATTATTATAATCACAAGGGTCGAAATACAAGAGATGAGTGCAAGTGCACCAATATTCATTCTTACCATTGCATTTCAGAAACTCACATCAAAAGGCTTCACATTTATATGTCTAAAGGCAAAAACATCCTTGTTCTTTTACTTCATCTCCTTCCTCTAACCTGCTAACCTACTAACCTACTACCTACGATCGTGAAGAAGGATGGGAAGCAATACCACACCGGTTGGTAATGGTAGATGAGTCGTCTCTATGTCGTATCTTAATACACGTCAAAGTAGCTTGGCACAGTGGTAGTAGTCATGTACCATCGACGAATATTGTTGAAACTAATGGTGTGTTCATAAAACTAAAAAGATTATAAAAAAATCTCACTAGTAAAACATAAATTTAACCTCAACATAACTCAACTGATTAAATCATATAATCGGCCAAAACGTCAAATGCACTACTACCGGGGGAATAGAGATGAATACCGACACTACTTTGCTTTTCAATTGATATTGTCGGTGTTGTATTCTCACAAGGTAAATATCCTTGAAGCTTCCTCTTCCTGAAAATTTCTTGCCATTGCAAGAATACAAATTCTTCCTTAGAAGAAGGCATGTAGATGCAATGAAATGTTCTTGAACTGTTTGATTATCTCATCATTTTAGCTAGCTTCCGGAACCAGTATGGTATCAAAGATAAATTCAACTACAACAAAAGAGGATCAAGAATCAAGCCATTTTGCATATGTCAAAATGCAGCATATCAATACAGTTAATCCAAGCACCAAATGGATGCAAAAGCAACACAATTTTAGCTCTACCCCACTGACAACAGATAGACCACTTGATGGCCAAACTAAGCAATTTTTTTTTAGACAATAGGTTTAATATACTGTTTTTTTTTTTTTATATTTGTGATCGTTTGGTCAGTTTCTATGCACCTCGACTCGATTCTTTTCATGGGATAACTATATGACCCTAAACATGATATTTAATATACTTGTCAGGGAAGAAGAGATCTTAGATCAAACAAAAGCCATTAAAGTAAACAGCAAGGCAGGATTTGCCTCTGTAATGGTAAGTGAATACTTGAAAGCCAGGACCAGGCAGCTAATTCAAGTTCAAGATCGTGCTTCTTTGTGGCAGACTTGTTCCTTTGACTTATTGTGAGAACTTTGGCTTGAGAGGAACATCAGAATTTTTAGGGAGGTCGGTGGATTGTGGGAGGAAGGTTGGGGCGTAGCTAGGTTTAGTTCATCCTTATTGGTGTCTATTACCGGCCTTAATTAGGTGTGCTAACGAGGACGCTGGACCACTAAGGGAGGTGGATTGAACATTCCTTAAAAGGATGTGGAAACCTATCCCTAGTAGACGCGTTTTAAAAACCTTGAGGGGAAGCCTGAGAGGGAAAGCCCAAAGAGGACAATATCTGCTAGCGGCGGACTTGAGCTATTACAACTTGATTTGATCCTCTCGGATTGAAGTCATTTAATGGGTTCTTTTTGTATCCACCTATACATTCTTCCATCTTTTTCCATAAAAACTAAATTTCTTACCAACAAATGTATACACTAAATGGCCTCTTTCATGCAGATTTGATACTTCTAAACTTATAGATTACACATTCATCACTAAAGTTCATAATACGAAGTGCCGAACGAAAGTAGTCATCTACTAACCTTCCTCTTTCCGAATGTTAGGCTGATCAACCAAAAGTTGCTGTAAGGAACTGAGATCTTGGGCACTATGATTCCTAGCAATTCAAGATGCACATTTTTTCAGAGGGAAACAAATGGACCATAAATAATAACATAATTTGGAAGCAGAAAACAAAAATAAGATGATAAAAGGAATGAATCTAATAATGTATAAATTCATATGAAACATTACAAGAAAAGGATGTTTCATATGCAACTATCAAAAGCAATGGGATAAAGTTACCTGGGTTTCCAGAAAAGTTCTGGAAGTGCTGAGACCATAGACTCTTTAAGATGGTACCTGAAGAGATTGAAACAAGTTCATTATGAAGCCAAATACACATCCAGTAAAAAACTTGCTTTCATGATCAGAAAAATTCGTACTCAGAGCGGTGCATGTCACATAGAAGCCTTAACCCATTCAAGCAATCTTCAAGACTCGGTTTTAATCCAACTCTTTGTTGCAGTTGTTTTGTTGATGGCTGATTCGAACCACCTTTGATTAGTTGCTTCCCATCACGATAAATCTTCTCCATTGAACGGACAATATTCCCAAGTTCTTCCCTGAGAAAATTATTCAGATTCTTCACTGATGTAAACAAGACAGCAAAAACGTTTGTCGAACTGTTTGGAAAAATTTCATGATTGTCATTTTCTTGTTCAATGACATGAACTTCTAACATATTGATCGAGGATATATGTTTTAATCAATTGAGCTATGTAGAAGTTGAAAATTTCATAACGGTCTGGTTTTTTATTCCGACATATCCTAGGAACCACACACGGAAGCAAGAAAGGAAATTGAAACAAAAACAAAAACAAACCTACATTGTCTTTATAATAGACGAGAAAACGAGTTGCAACGATTCCATCTGCTTAGCCAATAGCGCATCTACAATGCCATCCATGCCAGACAGACTGCCATAATTGTTAGGATCTTGAAGCACCTGAAAATAATTTTTCAAAGATTCTAATCTTGAAACTGAAAACAAAAATTATTTATCAGCATAATAAAATGAGAATTGAGGCTGACCTGCAACCTCCCAATGATGGAGGAAGCGTTCGTGAACTGTGAAATCAAGCGAACTTGAAGCTCGTCCCAGCGATCCATTTCATCTTTAAACTTTCTGAATCTTTGCTGATACTTTTTCACCATGGCCTCCATTGCTTGGAATTTTAGGGTACTTTGATAACGCCTGCAAATTTCTAACTAAATAGGAAAACATTACTAAAATTCTTCAAGATGCTTATTCACAACATACAATTAACAAAATAATGAATATGAACATCACATTCATGCACACCTCTTTTAACGTAACTCTTTGTAACGATACGCGTTCCAGGAAAAAAAAAAAAAAAAAAAAAAAAGGAAACGCCGGAAATCTCGCGATTTCCGGCGAGGTCTGGTAACAGGACGTACTTCTTTTTGAGTCGTTGTTGTACCTGTGAGAGAGGAGCAGAAAGAGTGAGGTGGGGAATCGATAACGCCGCGAGGCTTCGGACCTTTGTGAGTTCTTAGGTAGGAGCGAACCAACGCCGGGGTATTTCGTAACAAGAGGCACAGACGCACCGTCAAGGACGAACGGACGACGACGGTCTCATCGGCAACAGTAATCGGGTTCCGCGATTAGGGTTCGTCGGGACTCCTCGAGTGAGGAAGACAGAGCAGCGGATCGCGGGTCGGTTCTTCGGGTATCCCGCGAGCTCGCCTCAGCCAACGTACGGCCCGGACACCGACTCTGGGCCGCATATCATCCCGGCCCATGACCAGCGACACCAGCCCGCGCCAGAAGCCGTGCGCCGCCAGTGACCTTCTCGGCTCCTCGGCTCGGTACTCCGGCTTCGTCGGCGGCTCCGTTGCATTCCGCGGCTCGGCTTAGCGGCTCGTTATACAAATAATACATAGATTCTTACGTTTTCGACCCTTCTGTAGCCATTCCCGCCCTTGTTAGGTCAGTGTAACTCCACTCTGATAAATAGGAACGACCTCGATAGTTAGACATAAGTTGTGAAAGGAAAAGCTCAAAAAGAACAATATTAGAATCTACTTGATAGTTAGGCATAAATTGTGAAAGGAAAAGCTCAAAGAGAACAATATAAGAACCTACATGATAGTTAGACATAAGTTGTGAAAGAAAAAGCTTAAAGAAAACAATATCTAACTGTGGGTTTGGACGGTTACAAATAATATCAGAGCTAGATACTAAGCAGTGTGCCAGTGAGAACGCTGGGTCTCCAACGACTAACTGTGGGTTTGGACAGTTATAAATAATATCGGAGCTAGATACCAAGCGGTGTGCCATCGAGAACGCTGGCCCCCAACGACTAACTGTAAATTTGGACAGTTACAAATAATATTAGAGTCAGACACTAGGCGGTGTGCCAGCGAGGACGTTGGGTCCCAAAGCTGATGGGTCGTGGGTAACCTCTTCCCACTTGGGTTAGTCCTCCACAAGCAGGTGAGTGGATTCCCAACTTACCGAGTCGCCTGTGCCACAATATCGTATATTATATTGGAAAGTACCTCCACAAAGCTCAGTGCCCACTTCCCTTCCTCTTCAAGCTTCTTGCTTTTTATCATCTTTTATGCTTTCTTCTTGTTCTTAGTGTAACTTAGTATGTTCTTTATTATTTTTTTTTAACACTTTTTGTCAGAGAAAAGACCTCGTACTAATAGAGACGATTTTGATTGCTTGTGCCCGTTCCCTTGTTGAGAAC